CATCTCGACGTGCAAATGACCGGCCACAGCCAGGATGCTGACACTGGCACCGATCTACAAGTGAACAAAAAAATTGTTTTGCAGGGAACAGATTAATTAATGAGCAAAGATCAGTAGTAGGCAGCTGCTTGCACATTCATTTAATTTTCCTCTGCAGAGTGCACTAGGGCACGATTTGTATTCATGTGTATTTATGTGTTTATTTGTGCGCTGTTAACGACTGTTTGCTTCAAGATTCGAACAGAAGCGCACAACTATCACAAACCTTATCGCCCTGCGAAATGTGCCAGGAATACCAAGATCGCCTGGATTATCACTGCAGAATTTCCCCATTAAGTGGTATTACTAGGCTGCTTTCACGCAAAACTGAGCGCAGCTGTACCAGGCTTTAGGTCTCGGACTGCATATCTCCATTTTGTATCCACCGCTTGTTCTGTGTATGTGCGCTACCCCTTTGGGGGTCGCCAGTGTAGTCATTTACTTTCCCAGGAATGCCACTCACTAGTGCACGTCGTCCACCGGAGGCAAGGCGAATAACATGTCTTGCCCATCGAATTTTATTTTCATGCACGGTGGTAATGATATGCTGCATGCCGTTTATTTGACGGAGAATCTGATTGTTTACACGGTCGTGGAGAGGTACTCTAAACATCTTTCATTTCATCGTTCTCTCCTTCACAGCCAGCTTTCGCCGGAACCATGTTTCGCATCCGTGTGTCATTGCCTTCAAAATACGTGTTGAAGAGGTGGATACCGTCCTTTCGGTCTGGCAGTTTGAGGACATCGACTGTGCCGTCGAATTTGCGCCAATCCTCAGCCAGTGTAGTCTCTGGCTAGAGATTGTGTGTATAATTACTTTTTGTTCGAGTTAAATGTAGCTAACAACTTTCAACATTCCACCATCTTTTGTAAACTTAGTGCAAAGTCCTGCTCGTGACCGTAGTAGGACTTTGCACCTTCGTTTTCGAGCGTTGATTTTCAGACTAACTTCTTCACATTATGCGTTAAACTCCTGCAGCATCTCGTTTATTTCGCGGGGGTTGTTGATATTAAGAACCATGTCATTCCCAAAACTCTAATGATTAAGACAATAAATAAGAACATGTTGCACAAATAATATACGATATAACGACGTGAGATAGATCAAAAATGGCGTCGTCCAAGCATGTCCCACATACAGTGTTTTGGAAGCTCAGTTTGGAGCGTATCAAGCTTACTAATGCGATCATGCTTCTTCGCTGTGCAACGCTACAGCGCTGCAACAGCGAGCAAAAAAACATATTGTCGAGAGGTCGTCTGTGTGTGTTCGGAAATGAGTGAACTTTTTCATCTCAGCAACCAGGAAAGCTGGAAGGCTGAAACTTTGGATATATGTTCCTACCCCGTGTCATTCTTCCGTTTTAAGATCTTTCCCCGTACGCGTCTAGACCTCGCGTACGGGACCCCTAAAGAAATTTATTGGTGGTAGACGATTTTGCGAGCCAGGCAACGTATT